CGCTGAAAAATGTGAGTGGACAACGCATGTGCCAATTTTGCTGCATCAAACTCCATTCCCATGAAGGTAACATACGTGGCCAACATGTATTTAAGATATACAACTCACCGAACAAATCCACGTCTCGTCCGAATAATCAACGAGTTTATCTCGAAACGAAGCATCGGTTATATTGCATCACATAAAATGTTCTGATCTCCGAAATATGCGCATAATTTATTCTTGAAATCGAGTGCTGAGTGAGGCACATTTTCGTAATGCCAAAATTAATACATTAAGGCAATACACGCACGGCATAGTTTCTGTTTTAAACATTTTCATTTCACGAATCAACTTTGAAATTCACAAAATCAACTCGAATTGATGTCAGATTAAATTATCAAGAAAACAACCAATAAAGCTAAGATTATTTAATGACATTACGAATGAATAAAACACAAACAGTTAAATTACCAATTCATCTTTTACCTTTTCGTGGAATTCGTATGAACGAACGAATCGCATCCTTAAATAAAGTCGAACGTTAGACCTAAAGAAAATGTGTATTTCATTTGAATGTCTTCCGAACATAGATGATCAAATTACCAACAGAAGTTCTGCCCAAGGTTCTGCCGTTGTGGCTTGTGTGATTAAATGATAAAATTGGAGAAGAGTAAGTTGCTATTAAAGGGTAAGTGTCAAGATTCACGTTGACAAGAAATACACTGACAACGTTAATCGTTCTAGGTGCTCAAAGAAGTGCGTCGTATGCGAGAAAAACAAACAAACATGTTTGTTTTGGATTTCGTTTATTTTATTCTTTATTTGAGGCACTGAATGGTTCAATTTGTTTCTTATGTATTTAGCGTAAGTGCGTTGTTGTTCCCTGACATAATTTGAGTTGTTTAGACTAATTGGAAATGGTTTTGATATGTGACAAAACATTCGCTTTTCATCAGTCGATTGGATGTTGTTAAAAATAAATCAAAATACTCGGTTTCATTATCAATACATTAAGCGAAGTTTTAAGAGCACTTTTAACAGAATTTCTATTACAAAATTGTACATTACCAATCAATTTTCTTCAACAACTCTTTTACCGATTGCGATATTTCAACCATTTCTTCGTTTTCCAGAACCAATTGAAAACTGTATGTGAAATTACCAAGAAATTCCTTTCGCGTTTGATCATCATTAATACTATCACAACGATGGTTTAAAATACCAATGGCGATTTTACAATTTGCAATATTTTTTGTTTTGAACACACAATTGATGACATCTATCAAACTTTTATTTTTTTCTACCTTTTCGTCATACTTTTGGAAAAACTTCAACGCTGATTCTACCACAAGGGCTGGTGCTGGTGTTCGTATTGGTTCAGTTATGAATTGGCAAATTGCATCCAATATTTTGGCAGCGTATTTTCGGAAAGTTGTACGAAAGCTTCCGAATTCAAATGCCTTGTTCAACACTGTGAGTGCAGCTAAATTCAGGGTTCCGTTATCCTTATCATGACCCTTCCATTCCTCGAGATATCTTACGATTGTTCCAAAAATGTGTTCAAGTTGATCTTCCTTCAAAGAATATCCTTTGGAAATAATAAAAACAATTTAAAATTTGTATTTAAACGTAAATGTTTAAATTCAATCACCTCTTGCCAATAATTTCGCTGCATTTTGGTGAATGTTTGATGATTCCTTTAATAGCTCGCAGATATCGATCTTTCTCAAATTTCCATCCAGTTCAATCATTGCACCCCAACATTCGCAGACAATCTCTACCAAACTTTCTAGATCAACGTTTTCCATTGCGAATTTCAGCTATGCATAAGAACATCATTTTCAGAAAAAATTTTTGAAAACATATTGTTTGTATGGATGAAATAAACTTACGTTTTTGACTAGTTGTTTGCGATGGGTTTCTTCCATTTGGGAATATTTCAAACCGATATAATTTTTTAGAGAAGCATTATCACTCGAGCATCGTCGTAGGAATTCCAATGCGGCTTGTTTGCGAACACCCGCATCTATTTCTTTTTGCCCAATTATTTCAGTCAACTTTACGATGTGTTTTTCAAAACAACGGGAATGTTTTTCAAGTTGAGTGTACGCAAAATAATAGTTTTCTTCGCTCAAAGCAATTTGTCCAAACACATAATTCAAACCCATTTTATTTTCTTCGTCCGACATGATTTCTTTTAATTCGCAATTCGACCAGCTAATAGAAACTTTTTCAGGTATTTGAGGTTATGTGGTATGCTTGCAATCAATTTGTGTTTCTTGTTTTTTGAATTCCTTTGTTGGTATCTCTGTATAGATTTGGTATTGAATGGTCGATCTATCCCAATCATGATAACTTTGAGATAGATCCACCGTTTTTAAATTGAATAGCATCAAAATTAAAACCTCCAAAAACCAAAAAGAAATTGGTTCCATAAAATAAAAGCGAGTGAAAATTTTTTGGATTTTTTTTCTGTTTTATCACGAAACTATTTTCACTCAACCACTTGTCGAATGTCAACACTATTGAATGTCGGAATAGACACAATTTACACGGCTGGAGTTGCGTGTAAAAGTGATGATATTCAACATTTTAATTGATAAAATATTTTATTTGTGGACAAAATTGTGAAAATTATTGAACTAAAATCGATATTTTCCCAAAATCGTACAATTTTATTGGATTAATTCATATATAACTTTCACTCGATTCGACGGCCATCTATGTGTTGAGTTTGGTATAAACGTATAAAAAGTGTCATCGGACAGAAAACATTAGGAGATTGAAAATGTCAAGTGAAATGCTACCAACTTGCAATCAGTTATTCACTGTAAAATGGAGACTGAGCTACGCAACTAATTTTATGCTGAAAAGACTCACAGAGAGAGAGAGAGAGACAATTTTTTCTGGTCAAAGATTACAAGTGGAAAAATAAAGTTTAACAATAATTTGTGTCTAATTTTTTGCAATTCATTGGAATCAACGTTTATCCAATCGAAATTTCAAACAATTGAACAAATTCATCAATTTAATTCAAGTTGTGAATTGAGAGATACAACATTTTTGCGGAAACTATGTCGTCAGAGAGTGTGGGCAAAAAGATTACCGACTTGCGAGTATGCGACCTCAAAGCGGAGCTGGAAAAACGGGGCTTAGAGACGACTGGCATTAAAATTGCACTCGTTGATCGTTTGCAAAAGGTAAAAAACTATTAATTTTCTTACATTAGCCACGATATTGGATTCATTATCACCACGCAGTTAGATTTGTTGGCTATTAATGCCAAACAACAGTATGGTTCGTGCAAAAAAAAAGAAATATAGTAATAGAGCTTCTTTTTTTGGCAAGTACGTATATTATGTTAGACTGTGTAACCTGTTTCAAACACTTGATTTTGATACAAAACAATGCAAGGGGCAACCAAACCAGTATTTTTCCTAGTAAAATTACTTTGCGGTAAAATAATGAACTATCGGGAAGGGCAATTAGCTATTAGCGTTTAAATATCGATCAAACATATGGAAAAGCCAATGAATGAATGTGATTTAATTTATGTGCATAGGCAATCACCGAAGAGGGTGAAGATCCAAACGAGTACGTTTTTGAAACTGATGACAAGAGTAAAACGCCAGCTAAACGCGCCCGAAATGAATCAAATCCTCCGATTACGAATGAAACACAGGTAAATGAACACACTTGTGAATGAGTCTCAATGGAGATAATAAATACGATTGATGATGATTTGAGATGATAATATTGCGAGATACATTTTCAATGAATGCAATTGAATTTCCCATGATGTTTAAAAAAATCTTATTCTGTTTAATGAATTAATAAATTCGGGTTATAATTCGAAAGGCAAATGGCGGTGATGAAGAGGAGAAGCCCACAAAGAATGCCGACAAAGAGGGTGAAGAAGCCGAAAAAACTGAAGAAACTGAAGAGGTCGAAGAAGTCGAAAAAGAGCCCGAAGATAAGAAACCGGCAGCTGATAACAACAACGATGTCAAGGATGCATCGGAAGACAATGAAAATGACCAAGAGCATTTGCAATTGACGTTGGCCGAATCGGACAAACTTGATACGAGCAACGTGGACAACGAGGACTCGCTCAACCTAACTATCGGTGAAGATGAAGCGAAAATTTTCCAGGATGAGGTTTGTACTGCAAATTTAAATAACCACAAATCTGTCTCACTTGAAGTGAGTCACTTGCAATCCGGATTGAAGAATGCAATTTGCACCATTGAAGAAGAGAAAATTAATCAATTGATTTGGTTCATTGCAGGAACCTGAAGAAAAAGTCAAAGAGAACAACAGTAAGTAGTTGGTGTTTGAATGAATGGTCAATAAGTTTTAGGTTATATGAATTTTGGTGAAATGTGAAAATGATGAACGAATTTCTTTTGTTTTACTTGTCCGTACATTTCGAGTTATACGAAGAAAAAA